TTTGCTCTCATGGACCTGTTTACATTTTCTTCAACTTCAGTTTGAATTTGCATATGAGCAATTAATGGGCTTTTCCACAATCTGCCCCTGGCCTTGTTTTGACTAATGACATGGAGCTGTTCCATAGTCTCTTTCCACAGGTATAGTCAATATGATTTCTGTGTATTCCATATGGCGAGGCCCATGTGAATAGTCATCTCTTATGCTATCTAAGAAGGTATTTGAAACTAACAAATCATTGATTTTGCAGAATGCTATCATGCAATCTCCAACATCATTTCTGTCAACAAGGCCATATTTTCCAACTACTTTGCATTCCAATGACTAGTAATGGTCAAATACATCTTGGTTGCATGTTTGATCGATTTCAGATTGAAGAAGTTAGTAGAATTCTTTTATTTCATCCTCACTGACTTTAGTGTTTGGTGTGTTAAATTGAATAATAGTGGTATTAACTTGTCTTCCCTGTAGGTTCATGGATATTATTCTATCACAGACAGCATTGTACCTCATGACTGATCTGGATATGCTCTTTTTTGACAATGAATGCAGCACCATTCCTCTTTAATTTTTATTCCTGGCATAGTAAACCATGTGTTTGTCAGATTCAAAATGGTCAATACCAGTCCATTTCAATTCTCTAATGCCAAAGATATGGGTGTTTATGAATTCAATTTCATTTTTGTCAATTTCCAATTTTCCTAGATTCATACCTCATACATTCCATGTTCCATTTATTAATTGATGTTTACAGCTGTTTCTCTTCATTTTGAGATATGCCCCATCAGCAAATGAAGGCCCCATGGATTTTTCCCCTTGTGCTTTACTCTATTTGTGTCATCACGTTCAACTCTACTTTGAGGAAGCAGCTCTTCCCCAGTAACATTTTGAGTGACTTCCAACCTGAAGGGCTCATTTTCTGGCACTATATCTGACAGTGTTTCTCTGCTATTCATAAGGTTTTCAGTGACTAAATATTTGTAAGTAGTTTGTCAATCCTTCTGCCTCGTCTGTCTTCTGGGCGCTCATCTGAAACCTGTCCACCATGGGTGACCCTGCTGGTATTTAAAATACTGGTGGCATAGTTTCCAGAATTACAGCCACTCACATGATACCACAGTACAACAAACTGACAGACTTGTGATGAAAACCGTACAGTACCCTATTATAGATATAATGCAGTTGTTTATTTTTTTAACCTTTGAAACATATACTGATTGCTTCTAGCTTTTTCACATGTACAAATAAAGCTGCTATACATTTCACATATAGGTTTCTGTGTGAGCATAGTTTTTCAATCAGTTCACCAAATATCAGGAGTGTGATTGCTGGATCATATAGCAATGTGATGCTCAAAAATTAACAAAATCTGCCAATTTGTCTTTGAAACTTGTTACACTGATGTGTATTGCCAGGAGCAAAGACTGAAAATTCCTTTTGTTAATATCTTTATCAGTAATTGCTATTGTTTTGGCTCATTTTTAGATTTTAGCCATTCTAAAGTGTACAGTATGATATTTTAATTTGCTTAAATACATTTCTGCTGCACAGGAACTTTTTAAAGTGTTGAAGAGCAAAAATGTCACCTTGAGGACTGAGGTGCGCCTGACCCAAGCCATGGTATTTTCAATAGCCTCATATAGATGTGAAAGCCTGGACAGTGAATAAGAAAGATCGTAGAAGAATTGATGCCTTTGAGTTATGGTGTTGGAGGAGAATACTAAAAGTGCCATGGGCTGCCAAAAGAACCAATAGATCTGTTTTGGAAGAAGTGCAGCGAGAGTGCTCCTTGGAGGCCAGGATGGCTAAGCTTCTTCTCTCATACTTTGGACATATTGTCTGGAGGGAACAGTCACTGGAAAAGGTTGTCATGCTGGGTAAGATGGAAGGTCAGAGAAAAAGAGGAAGACCCCCAACGAGATGGATCAGCCAGGTGGCATCATTGATGGCATTGAGTGTGGCAGCGGTAATGAGGTTGGCCCAGGATAGGACATTGTTTTGTTCTGCTGTGCATGTGGTCGCTATGAGTCGGTTCCGACTCGATGGCACCTGACAACAACAGCTACAAATACATTTTATAAATATCACAAGACTTATTATTCTGGAAAAAATATAAAATACTGTTGTTTGTAGGGAGCCAACCCCCTACTGCTGTTTGACACAGTCCCGGCGAAGGAGAAGCATCAGCACTGCAGATGTTTTTTTGGGGAGCACTCTTTATCTATCTTCTTTGGGATGGTTCTGATTCCACTTGTGGGGATATATTGTATGGCCACATTCACACTGTGAGTTCTCCAAAGTTTAGGAAAAACCAGTCTTGCAACAATTGTTTCAACTTTACTGGATTAGATTCAAAGGGAATTGTAAATAAATTAAGGCAGCATGACCTATTCCCTCCCACAGAAAAACCCCACTACAAAGCAGCTGCATTTATGAGATCACAGAAGCAGATAGAAAGCAAAGGTGAAGCTGACTGATCCCCATGGGTCCCACTTAAGATAGGTGGCAAATTATGGTGACCCCCTTGAGGGAAATGGGCTACCTATTACTGGCCACAACCCATAAACTTCCTACTACCATATACAGGAGCCTACATAATTGGGCAGAGAATGGTAAACATAAACGGAAAGTGGATAAAATTGAGTAGTCTCCCTTTTCTGCAGCAATTAGCCAGGTTGGACCCTTCAGCATGCCTCATGACCCCAAAAGAAAGAAAGAAACATAGAAATACTGTTGCTAGGCAATTTAATGAATACTTTAGAAAAACAAAACAATTTAATAAATGTTGGCAATGCTGTTGCTACAGAAAATAATAGTACCTTATGTAGGGTAGAGAATTAATGACTAGCTAGAAAAAAACAGTGGGATAGCGTAAGCAAAGATAATTGAGTCAATAGAAACTTATGCTAGAAAAAGAATGTAGTTAAAGGTTTAAAAGGTAAAAATGATCTGTTTAAAATTCAAGACCGTTTTAGTAGGAATAAGAAAAGACAGTCTATCACTTAACATAGAAAAAGAGATGATATCAGAAGAAAAGTACCTAATGGTCAGAAAATGAACAGGATATGGAAAAGTCAAGTGAGACATTATAGAAACACTTTTGTTAAGATTTTGTAATCACAAGGTAAAAGAATGATATAATCAAATACGTGTAATACTTCAAAGAAAAATATCAAAGCATCAAATCATTATGCATTGTGTAACTTTGAGTATAAATGAAGACTGTTGCTGAGCCGGGGCAGTGGGGGCTCCATCAGCCAACTAAGCGGAGACTCCTTGATTAGTTTCACTTTCTCTGAGGGCTCTGTGTCTCCTTCCAGAACCCCGCCCCTGTGAGAGCTGGACTCCCATATTTGTTGTTGTTAAATGCCATCAAGTCTATTCCAACTCACAGCAATCCTATATGGGTTTTTTAAGGTACAGCTGGTGGGTTTGAACTGATTACCTTGTGGTTAGCAGTTCAGTGCTTATCCTACAGTACCAACACTTAGGAATTATAAAACTTTGTAAATTGGGTTCTGCAGTCAGGTGCTGCAAAGACCACAAAAATGTGTGAGAGCAATTTATTAGGAATTTTTCCACTAAATGGTCATTGGAATGGTTAGGAAGTGCAGATGAGAAGGGAAATAGTACATGTGGATACCAGTATTCAAGTCCTATGAAGGGTGACTTTGGTAAATTTAATCCCAGAGGGGATAGAGGTGATACTTCCACAATGACTCTGTGAAGAACTTGGAAAATGTTACCATGGTGAGAGAATTGATTCTGCTTTATTTTAAAACTTACTATAAAATTAGACTAAATGAAAAAGCATATCACTGGCATAAATGTAGACATCTAGGTCATTGAAGCTGAATTTGGAGCCAAGAAATCAAATCCTATATTTATGGGTAATTTCTTTTTGACAAAGATGTCAAGAATATACTCTGGGGAATTTTTAGTCTTCACAGTTGATTATCTTTGAAAATTGGATATTCATATACAAAGAAAAACGGAAAACCCAAATCGTAGACTCTGGCCTTCATTTTGCAGGCAAATTTAATCAAATGAACCATAAGCATAAATGTTAAGTGCTATTTAACTTAACTTTTATAGTTAAGTTCTAGAAGTAAATTTAAGAGAATTATTTAGCAAAAAAAAAAAAATATATATATATATATAAAGGGAACAGTATAAAAATAAAGTCTCTGATCTTCAAAAGGTATTATATAGAAAATGAAAAGTCACAGAATTGGAGAAATCATCTGCAAATTACATAGTTCATAAAGGCCTAGAATACAAAATATGTAAAGAAAAATATTAACAGCTCAATAAAAAGAAGACAAATATCCCAATTTAAAAATAAGTAAAATATTGGAATAGGTATTTTATCAAAGACATGCAAATGACAAATAAACACCTAAATAACGGGAAAAAAAAAGCTTTTCAGAAAACATGCAGTAAATTACAACAAGATACCACTGTATACCAATTCAAATATCTCTAAATAGTTGCCATTGTTGGCAAGTATATGAAGACACTGTAACCATCATATATGCCAGGGGAAACATTAGTAATTTTTATGGTTCATTCTTTAAAATTGGTAAGTCTACAGCAATCCTTTGAAAGGATTGCTGTAGACTTACCAATTTTCACACAGTTCTGTTCCCAGGTATCTACTCAAGAAAAATAACATATATATATATAGTCACATGAGACTGTTAATCCAAGGTTTATAGCACCATGATTTGTAATTGCCAAAAATTGGAAATTATTCAAATATCATTCAAATGGTAAGTGAGTATATATAATGTAGTATATCCACTAAAATATAAAGACGGTCAAATTCAGATACAGGCTGCAGCATGGATGAAATGTAAAAAAAAAAAAAAAAAAAAAATACAAGAAACCAGACACAAATAAATGCATGTTGCATGATTCTCTTTATATGAAAAGTATCCTTACATTAATTACTCACAATCTACATTAACCATTTTACTCTTTACTTACATAATACAACATTACATTGATTTGAAGGATTTACATGGGTTTGACAGGAATCTCTTTAAGGCAGCTTTCACATCCTTATTCCTAAAGCTGTAGATCATAGGATTCATCATAGGGATTACTAGGGTATAAAACACAGATGCCATTTTATCAGTATCTAATGAGTGGTCAGTTTTAGGCTGCAAATACATGAATAGTAATGTCCCATAGAACACTGTGACCACCATCATATGTGAAGCACAGGTAGAAAAGGCTTTTTTCCTTCCTTCTGCTGACCGTATCCTGAGAATGGACAAGATAATGTTAAAATAGGAGACTATAACAACAGTCATGGAGATAACCAAATTTGTAGCTGAAGAAATAAAGACTACTGTTTCTGGCATGTAAGTATCCGAGCAGGATAATGCCAACAGAGGAACAATGTCACAGTAAAAATGGTTGATTACATTGAAGGAACAATAAGACATAGAGAATGCACACGATGGAACTAAAATAGCTGTAAAGAAACCATAGACATATGTGAAGGCTACTAGCTGAAGGCAAAGCTGTGGAGATACCACCACCATATACAGCAGGGGATTGCAAATGGCCACATAACGGTCATAGGCCATCACAGCAAGCATGAAAATCTCAGCCACAATGAAAACTAAGAATCCACCAAGTTGAACAGCACAACAGTAGTAGTAGATGGTTTTCTTCTGAACCAGGAAGTTGACAAGCATTTTAGGGGCAATGATGGTAGAATTGCTAAGATTGATGATAGCCAAGTGTCGGAGGAAAAAGTACATGGGGGTTTGAAGTCGAGAGTCCACCATGGTGAGGGTGATGATGCTCAAGTTTCCTGCCACAGTCAGCCCATAGATCACCAGGAAGACAAAGAAAAGGGGAACCTGGAGCTCAGGACGATCTGAGACTCCCATGAGAATGAACTCAGTCACCGGGGTGAAATTATCAGGAGCCATGTGACAGTTTGAAAATCCATCTGTTTTGGAAAATAAAGTGGGAAAGGATTACAAAGTTTGAAGAATTATTCTCTAAAACTGCTGTTAAATGGCAAGGTCAATTCCTTGGGAGAGATTTTCCTTAGTTATGTATTATTCTAAGACAGTTATTGAACTCAGGTCTCGAGTTTTGATCAAGAACAATCTAGGAATCCCTTCAACTTTACTCTCTGTTAAGAATCCTGAGCTTTCGTTCTTTGACAAGGTTTCACTTTGTATAGTGAAACCTGGCTTTGTAGGCTTCACTATTTTGACTCTTATGGACATAATGAGTTGTAGGGCTCAAAAGGAGTAGAAGTAAGAGTAAAGAAACAAGGCAAGATGTTTCTACAAGATTAGTGATAAACAAGAGTATTGGCTTGGTTTAAAGTGGACTAGTTGAAGCTAGAAAGAAGGAGGTCAATTTGACAGACATTTGGGAGTAAACATGTCCTCATCAACATAATTTATAATATGAATATATACAAGATATAAGAGGGGATGAGAATTAGAGTAGGACTAAGGAAGGATTTTTTTGTTTTGTTTTGTTTTTTGCTTTTACAACAGGATGAATGGCCATGATGTAGTTTGAATATTAGAAAAATTGGCTTAAGGTGGGGTTGATCAAAATGATAACCATGTTATTCTTTGGGAGTATATGAGACAGTTAAATAATCATTTATGGAAGCTAAGAATTAAATCTAGAGAACATGGGTGAGTTTAGACTGTAGATATTTGAGACTGTAGATATTTTTCTTACTTATCTAGTGTTGCTATAGCAGACATAGTAGAAGTGAATGCTTTAACAGACAGAAAATTATTTTCTCACAATTGAGGACACCAGAAGTCTGAAATCAGGTGCTGGCTATGATGGAAGGACTTCGGTCTGTTGACTCTGTGGGAAGGCCCTTGTCTCTTCAGCTACTCTTTTGGGGTTCCTTTGAGTTCTTATGGCTTGGCATAGATCATCCCCCATCTCTGTTGACATATTCTGCTTCTTTTATATTTTGTAAAAAAATAAATCAAGAAATATCTGATACTAACTCTGCCTATTAATATAAACAAAACAAGTCACTCCTAAGTGAGATAATATCCATAGACATGCTGTTATTGAGTATCATCAGTGTCGGTTCTGACTCATTGCAAACCGCTATAGGGTTTCTGAGGAGCTGCTGGTGTTTCTGAATTGCTGGTCTTGTAGGTCAAACCGACCCTCTGGTCTATTGTGTAGCTCGTCATAGCACTGCCATAGGCACAGTGATTGGATATTACAGTGCATATTTTTGTGGGATACAATTCAATCTATAAAAATATAATATATTACTGTTTGTTATTATCTATGTCAAGTTTTGATTTCTGCTATAAAAGAGGAGACTTCAAAAGCTTCATGGACAAATGGAATGAAAAATAATGGAATTTGTCGATGAATGCTTTGCAACTCTTCATATAACCAAAAATTCTTAATATGTTCACATAATCTGAATGCTTTTTTACGGAAAGAATCTTTTGTTTTGAGATTCTAGTTTGTCTGTATCTATTTGATAGTCTATTTTCCCCAAACAGTTAAGAAGCATGGAAATGACCTTCAAGAGAGCATAATTATATTGGCTTATATGTAACACTCAGTATCTTTAAAAAAATTATATTGAAATGGCTCATTACAAGAAATAAGTTTTTGCTCTTTTAAAGGGTATTATATAGAAAAATGGAATAAATATTTTTTACCCACCTCTAGTGGAAATTTTGCCTCTGATTCATAGTGAGCATCACTATTTGACTTCACCAGCCTTGGTCTTACAATCTTTGAGACCCTATCTCTGAAATACACATGATGCTCAGATAAACAAATTGTCTTTTAACCCCATTGGGAAAGAGTCACCAGGGATTAGTTCCTCAGGAAGATCTTCCTATAGGGGCTCAACCAGGTGCCCTTTGGGGCCACTTTGTGACAGTGTGGCCAATATTATTAAAATGAGTTACACACTATAGTATCTAAGGCACATAATGATTAACATCTGTCTCTGAAAGTAGTTTATTTGCATTCAAAAATAGATTTATGCAAAAGTGGACTATTAAAGTGTTAGGAACCCAAAGGTCTAGGAGCCAAATTATCAAACCCCATGCCCACTCTACCACAATGTCAGTTTGAACCAAAAAGGTTGGTGGTTCAAACCCACTAGCTGCTCCTTGGTAACTTGTTACAAGTTTGCTGTGAATAACAACAAATTTGAAGGCACTTAAAAGCAACTCTTGATCCTCTCACAACCCAACCACCCCCCACAAAACCCCACAGCCATTGAGTTGATCGCAACTCTAGGAGCAGACAGTTCACCTTTCTTCCACAGAGCAGCTGGAGGATTTAAACCATCAAACTAATGATTAGCAATTTAACTACTAACCCAGAGTGCCACACCAAATTCACTGTTGGCAGTCTAATTAGAACATACTCTGCTTGTATGGGAATCCTGGGGTGGCATTGAGGATAATACCCTGGACCATTAGGCCAGTTTGAACTG